ATTTACAGATACATAGAACAAAGAACCCAGCGCCCATAAATCTCATCCAGAGGAGCCAAGGTGACATCTCAATAGGTAAATAGGCCCAAAGCCAAAGGTTTCTCTAAGGCTGAGCGATCAGAACACAGAAACAATAGAAAGAACGAAAGGTCCCTGAGGTGAGGTGAGGATGAGGATTAAAAAAGCAACCCCCAGGATGAAGGCAAACAGGAACTCCCACCAAAATATTCCTCAAAATGGAAACCACGCCTCAATCTCCACCCCTAACTCCACCTGTTATGAATATTGTAATCTAATGATGCAATAATATGAATATGTATGTAATTGTGTTGTAATCATTGCCAAACCTGTATAAAATACTCACTCTAACCTAACCAACTCGGAGCCTGTTTTCCCAGCACTAGCTGGCAGGCTGCCCGGTCGTCAATAAATAAATACCTTGCTGCTTTAGACGTAAAACCCTGTCTAAACAGTTTTTATCTGCTTTTTTGGGCATCAATGGGACCCTGCACGGCCTGGGACACGGGTGTCCTTATCTGCGCGCGCAGCCTTAGATGGCGAGAGCGGGGCGGAAGTGAAAGTTTCCAAGAGTAAAACTTCTATGGAACAATTGGTGTTTGGCGCTGTGGCTGCTCCCGTACTGGCGGCGGTGAGAAAGTGGCTTGGCTTGGCTCCAGTTGCAGCGGGGGGAATAGAAACCGCAGAGAACAAAGGCGACTCGAAGCCAGCGACTCCAACGGTCACTGTGCTTGTGCCGCCCGCAGCTCTCCCCCTCCCCGCAGTCCCTGCGTTGTCAGTGGCAACAGCATCTGGCAGTGCACCTGCGTCAGCTGCCGAGCCTGGACAGTTAAGTCATCGCAGCGGGACCTTCTACACCTGCGCTCTCAGCACCACCTGCGGTAATCATCGCGCATGCGTCAGGCACAGAGCCAGCTGTTGCGTCATCATCAGTGGCGACTACAAGTGAGGCGTCCACGGCTAGCTTCGTGCATGCACTGAGAGTCGTACCTGTGCTGAAACGTCATCCTTCTGAACCCCGGAAGAGTGAAACAAAAACAAAGCTTCAGGTGAAAAAGAAAATACTTCCACCACTTCCATCTTCAGGATCTTCTTCTTTGGAGGAGGAAGAGGAGGAGACCTCAGCTGCTGGAAGCAAGAAAGCTGCTTCTGAACAAGTGAAGACTCAGATAGACAATTTACTTCAATGCATCCAAGTGCTGGAAAGCAAATCAACAGAGTCGCTGAATCCAACTCTCCCTGCTGCCACAGCTTTGCATGCAATGCCGATATCACCTCCAGGACCCCCTTTCTCACACACTCCTGGGACTCAGATTCCTGTTACCGAGGTTTCCAGCTTTGCTGGGAGGGGGGATGGGAGGTGGGGGTCATAATCCAGCTTTACGATGGAAAGGAATAATTAAAGAGGCAATATTAGAGGGAGATGTTGAGCCATTGGGTATTAGTGCATATCCTGTGTTCGTGGATGGGGCTGGTAATAATACATGGGAGGCTCTGGATTGGAAAATCATTAAAGAAGCAAAAACAGCTATATCACAATATGGGTTAAAATCAAGTTATACACAGTCTGTACTTCAGCATCTTTTTACAGCTAATATGTTAACACCATATGATATGCGTATGATTATTAACACATTATTAACCTCTTCTCAACAATTTCAGTTTTTTAACAGGTGGAAAACTAGTTGCACCACAGCTGCAGCTCAGCTGAGACAGCAAGGAGATCCATTGTATGGGGTAACTTCTCAAATGCTAATGGGATCTGGTCCTTATGAAAGGACAGATTGGCAGGTACAATTTATTCTGGAAGTGTTGCAAACTAGCCAGGATTTAGCTTATAAGTCATTGCTTGCAGTAAAAGATGCTAATTCAGGACCTCCGTGTACCTTGGTTAGGCGGGAACCCAATGAACCATACAGCAAGTTTGTGGATCGTTTGCATCAGGCTATAAATTCAGATCCAGATTTGGATAACAACATGAAGGCAAAGTTCATGGACAAGTTTAACCTATGATAATGCGAATGACAAAACCAAGACAGTTTTAAGCACACTACCTAGGGGTGCTGGGACAGCTCAGCTCCTTGAGGCTGCTGACAGGATGGTAAAGGAAGACAAAGCAGCCTATATAGCTACAGCAGTGAGTGCAGCAGTAGAGCCTTTGGTGCCAAGTCAGGAGAAAGATAATGAGTGAGAAAGGCAAGAGGTGTTATGCTTGTGGTCAATGGAAACAGTTCGAAGAATACGAAGAGCAATGATATTTGAAACTGACATTGTCACCCACTACAAGACTGTCTTCAAACACTGACAGTGATTCTCTTTTCTATTGTTTTTTCACATTATGAAATCTCATAGCTGCTATACATAATTTCTTGTGTTATTAACTTATTAGAGGGCTTAATTATTTGGTTAAGAAGCTTTGTGTGAAAGTATGTATGATTGAGGTATGACTGAGGTGGCCACCTTTGAATGTTTGAAAGACAACTGTGTGCAAGAGAAAAGTATTGTGTGGAATTATATATCTATATATATATTTGTAGGTTTAATAATGCATTACATAGGTATTAGAAAAGTTTTTCAACCAAAGGGTGTTGCTACATTGCAAGGACCTTTAAATAAAGGGTTAAGTACTCTCTTATCAGTTTTACCTCACAAATTTTTCCATCAGTCTGCAGATGTGTTAACCAAACAGTTTGGGTTGACTTCAGCAAATGGATGGGATATTGTGTAAGCCTGTTCAGCCTGCCACAAAAGTGGGCTGGGCATTGGCTTGGGGGTCAATCCTCATGGTTTACAAGCATTACAGCTTTGACAGATGGATGTCACTCATGTTGGTGAGTTTGGAAGGTTAAAATATGTGCGTGTGTGTATTGATACTTTTTCTCATGCCATTATGGGCATCTGCCCAGGCTGGGTGCCAGATATGTCATTCGTCATATGCATGCATGCATAGCGGCTCATGGAGTCCATAAAACACTTTTGCAAAAGCAGAAAGGGGGAGAAGAGCTGGATAGCCCACATAACTGACTTGCAAAAGTGTTATATGTTTTGAATTTTTTACGGTTGACGGGTGGAAGATCGGATTCTCCCATTGTAATTCATAACACTTCTATGAAGTCAGGTTTGGTAAATCAACAGGTAACAGTTAAAGCATGGTACAAAGACCCACAAATGGGGGTCTGGAAAGGGCCTGCAGAGGTGAAACTGACTGGCGGAGAGTATGTTTGGGTTCTTGCGGACACAGGGGTTCGGTGGCTGCCTGCACGATGGATAAGACCTTGGAAAGGGAGTGATTCTGCAGAACAAGGTTGATACTGTTATAGATAAGTCATTCAGAATAACACAGTTTTTTCAGTATTATTATAATATAGTTTTATAGTATAGTATCATATAACCATAGAAGTTAAGAACTTAAGAGAGTGTTTTGTGTGAACTTGATGTTATCCATTAAATTTTAGTATGAGTTGTTTTAGCTCAAAAACAAAAAAGGGGATTTGTGGGAGGAACATGATGAATGTGTGAGCAATTTATATTGTGTGCTGTAGTTTTATAAACTTTTATAAGTTTTTATATAGTTTTATAGGTACTATAAGTGCCAAGACGGTTGTGGGTCTCTTTACTAGAACAAAAGGAAATCAGTGCCAAGAAGAAGGTGGAGTTTGATAAAGTAAATAATTGCCTTGTTACCTGTTAATAACCAATTATAAATTATTTGTAATGCGTGTTTACATCTGGACAGTAACTTGTAACCAATTATGTGCTTCTTGTCACGAGACCTTGTATACAGATACTATAAAAAGTCTGAGCTCTAATAATAAACCGGACATATTGTAGATCTCAGAGGTCGTGTACTTATGTCTCAGAGCCTCTCTGCCAACAAGGAGGCTCAGAGGTGACCTCATCACTCTCTACAACTACCTGAGAGGAGGTTGTAGCCAGGTGGGGATTGGTCTCTTCTCTCAGGCAATCAGCAGCAGGACAAGAGGGCACAGGCTTAAGCTCTGCCAGGGGAGGTTTAGGTTGGATATTAGAAAGAAGTTCTTTACAGAGAGAGTGATCAGGCATTGGAATGACCTGTCCAGAGAGGTGGTGGATTCACCGTCCCTGGAGGTTTTTAAGAAGAGGCTGGATGTGGCACTGAGTGCCATGATCTAGTAATCACAGTGGGGTTGGATCAAGGGTTGGACTTGATGATCTTGGAGGTGTCTTCCAACCCAGTTAATTCTATGATTCTATGAGGGTGTCCCCTCTGACACAACTTCAGGCCATTCCCTTAGGCCCTGTCAATGGTTCCCACAGAGTAGAGCTCAGGGCCTGCCCCTCCTCTTCCTCTCCTGAGAAAGTTGTAACTGAAATGAGGTCTCCCCTCAGTCTCCTCTTCTCCAGCTGAACAGACCAAGTGCCCTCAGCTGCTTCTCATATGGCTTCAAATCAAGGCCCTTCCCCATCTTTGTTGCCCTCCTTTGGACACTCTAATGGTTCAATATCTTCCTTATATTGCTGTGCCCCAAACTGCTCAAATATTGCAGGTGAGGCCACCCCAGGTCAGAGCAGAGCAGGACAATCCCCTCCCTGGCCTGTCTGGAGATGCTCAGCCTGATGCCCCCTCAGGACACAGTTGACCCTCCTGGTTGCCAGGGCACTACTGACTCATGTCCAACTGGTCACGCACCAGGACCCCCAGATCACTTTCCCGGCCCTGCCCACAGAACATTGACCCACAGAGTCGCCACCTGGGGATACCTCTGTGACAGGGTTTGAGGGGAAATCCTCTCCATGGTCCATCTCGCAGGGACGGAGCTGCTGCGATGCGAGCCCCAGTACCGGCTAGCTGTAGAGATCACACAGCACACAGGGAATCCAGTGGCAGGGAGATTTTATTCAAACCTCCTGTGGCTTATTAAGGCTGCTGGGAGGAAGGGAGAGGCTTGGCTACTCAGCTAGCCAATGGGAAGAGACGGGAGATTAACACCCAATAGGAACCCAGGGACTGGGGAGAGACAGGTGAGAAAAGCAATGGGGTTAGGATAGGGGCATGGGCTGGCTCTGTGGGCAGAACAAACATGGCACTGCCCAGGGCAGCCACGTGGGGACCAAGTGAGAGAGGTTTTATACAGCATAGAGAGTTCCCGTACAATAAATTTGCGATGCCTGAGTTTAAACTGGAAGTTTTTCCTGTGTCGACTTTGGGAAACCGCATCTGCATTGGTTTTTCCTCTAAAGATGTTGTTTCCAAAGTGTGTTGTCTGTGGTGTCCCTCACACCTCTGTCCCACAGGAGCCCTGGCACCCCTGGAGGAGCCAGAGATGTCCCAGGGCCCAAACCAAACCTTCCCCAATCTTCTGGGTGGTGTCAGCACCAAGGAGGTGCTGCTGTCCTGCTGTCTAGGGGATCCCCATATGCTCCTGCCAGGCAAAAGGTGCCCCAGAGCAGCTGAAAGGGACCTGTCATGAGTGGTTGTGCTATAAGGGGATGCTTGGGCCGGTTCCGCCAGTTCTGGGCACGGGTGTTTCCATGGTGTGAGAAATAAAAGACTGGTTTTATTACAAGCAAATAAAATGGACAAATAGTACTAACAAAGAGTTATTCTTATTACTAACCTATAGGCATTCAGCGGTAGTTGTAAGGCATACAGTTCAGTCTTGAAATGTATGCTAGGGATTGGGCGTGCGGGAATAGGGAATTGCATACTAACTATAAATATAGCTGACCCAGCCCCCATGCCACATGACTGACCATGCAGGCAGAGGGAGGCTGCCATTTTGCCTGAAACTCCGCCCCTGGCATGAGAGGGGGCACAGGAGAGCCAATCCGAGGAGAAGAAACACCCCTCGTGACGTAAAACAGGGTTGGATCTTAAGAATGTTTAAAAGGTGGGAGTTTTGAATCGGGAGGCATGGTCTTGGAAATTTAGGGACTTGAGCACCCAACACGTGTTGTAATTAAATTTTCCTACTCCTATTATAGTCATTATTATTATTTTCTTTGTTCTGTGGATTTTTTTTTGCCATTGTTGTAAATTTAAAGAGAGATTTTTCTCACAATTGCAACTGCCAGGTCTGTGTGATGTGGGGCTGCAGGGTGCCCAGGGGCCACTGTGACACTGCAAGGCCTCCTGGAACTGAGGGGACATTGTGACACTTTGGGCCCCACCCTGCCCATGGGGTGTTTCAGGAGCTCTCCTGTGGGGGACCCCAGCTGGTTCTGGGGTCTCTGTAAGCTGAGACATCAAAGATGGAATGTCTACACCTGGCAGAGGGTCAACCACGGACAGAGAGGACTGTGACACAGAGTGGATTTCCTGTCAAGAATGCTGACTCGTTGTATTCAGACATGCGTGGCTGTATGTCCAATAGTGGGTTATTTATGTTACCAGCAAACCAATGGTGATTATACATGTGTCACCTAGAACTGTATAAAGTAGCTGCACTGTTGTAATAAAGCTGCTGGTATCCCGAAACCATGTCGTGTTTCACCCCAACCACAACACTCCCTGGGTGCCCACTCCAGCTGAGGGCTGGGGCAGGAGGAGAGGCTGGTGGTGGGAAGATGTTGGGCTCCCTAGCACTCTACCAAGGCAGTCACCTCCATCTCGCGCCTCCTCCTCCTCCCACCCTCAGCTGCAGCAGCGGCAGCCTCAGGGCAACCGGGCTGGGCCTTGTCCCTCCATGGGGACAGGCCATCCTGGCCCTCCAGCACACAGAGTTCCAGGAGCACCAGGAGCCATTCCAGCCTGGCCCAGGGGGCACAGGGCCAAGGGCTGCAGTGGGGCAAGTCCAGTCCCATTATATCCCACTTGCCCACAACATGGTCCCAATTGCCCCCAGCATAGTCCCAGTCACTCCCAATATGAGTCCAGTATGAGTCTACTATGATCCCAGTTGCTCCCAGTGTGGTCCCAGTCACACCCACTATGGTTACAGACACTCCCAGTATATCCCAGTTGCCTTCAGCATGCTCATAGCCATTCCCAGTCACTCCCAGTTGCCCCAGTAAGGTTTCAGTTCCCCCTAGTATGATCCAGTCATTCCCAGTTACTCCCAGCCACTTGCAGTGTAATCCCAGTTTCTCTCAGTTACTCCCTGAAGCCCAAAGTATGGTCCCAGTTGCTCCCATATGATCCCAGTTGCCCCAGTTGCAAAGTCCCCCCCAGCATGGTTCCAGTATCTTACAGGTAATTCCAGTTGCTCTCAGTCTTTCCCCAGTTGGCTCCCAGCATGGGCCCATTAGCTCCCAGTAACCCCCAATAAGGTCCCATTCACACCCCTGTGCTGGGGCCTTAGCTGTCTTAAATGAGTATGCTGAGTTCTAAAGAGGCCAAGAGCTGACCGTTAGACAAACAAGAACAAGTGTGCAGCTGCAAGAATGCAGAGGTCAGCAGAAAGCGATGTGAGAAAAAGGTGATAACAGAAACTTTTCCCAGGAATGTGTGCTTTAAGGATCACCAATGGATGGACTGCTTGAGGCGCGTGGACAATGCAGACTAACCAATCATGGAGGTGTGCTGCGCTCGTGATTGCATGTCCAAGACTCAAAAGAATATATATTGTGTGGCCTTCTGATAATAAAATGGATTTGAATCTGCATCTCATAGATGTGTCGTTCTTTCCCGCTCGCTTGAATACCCACGGCACCCCTGTAATGCCAGTCTCTCCCAGTATGATCCCAGTGTAATCCTAACCACTCCCAGTATGGTTCCAGTCACATCCCGTATGATCCCAGTCACTCCCACTATAATCCCAGTCACTCCCAGTATGATTCCAGTTGCTCCATCTCAGGCCCTGTGTTCTTTAACATCTTCAAAAATGACTTGGACACAGGACTGGAAGGGACACTGAGCAAGTTTGCAGATGACCCAAACCTGGCAGAAGCTGTTGACTCCCTTGAAAGCAGAGAGGCCCTGCAGAGACCTTGACAGATCAGAGGGCTGGGAATCACCAACCATAGGAAGTTCAACAAGGGGAAGTGCCGGATTCTGCCCCTGGGATGGGGCAACCCCAGATGGATGGACAGACTGGAGAATGGGACACTGAAAAGCAGTGCCAGGAAAGGGCCCTGGGGGCCCTGATCGGTAGCCAGTTGGACATGAGTCAGCAGTGCCCTGGCAGCCAGGAGGGCCAACTGTGTCCTGGGGGACATCAGGCCTACCATCACCGACCTGGCCAAGGAGGGGATTGTCCTGCTCTGCTCTGACCTGGAACAACCTCACCCTTGTAGGTCCCTTCCATCTTGGCATATTCTGTGATTCTGTAACAGCCCACCTTTGCCTGCTTTGCTGCTTCTGTTAACCAGAAGTTCCTTCCTTTATTGTTTCATTAGTTGGCTTGGCTGTTTTCTTTAGACTGTGCCTTGATTACACAGAAATTTTCTATGGCACATTCTGTTGTAACCACTACTAGTTCTGTTATGTCTCAAAATTCGATACCAGCCTTATGGAGCCAAAGGAACCAAGGGAAACTTCAAAACCTCATGGAATCAAGGGGCAATTGTGACACTGGGGGATCTCATGGAATCAACGGACCATTATGTCACTACAGGGTCACATGGAATCAAGGCAGCAGTGTGACACTGCTGGGCCTAATGGAACCAAAGAAACCCAGGGGACACTGAGGAACTTCATGGAATAAAAGGGCCATTGAAACACTGCAAAACCTCATGGAATCAAGGGGACATTACAGAATCACAGAATCAACGAGGTTGGAAAAGACCTCTGAGATCATCGAGTCCAACCTATGACCTAACACCACCTTGTCTACTAGACCATGGCACTAAGTTCCACATCCAGTCTGTTCTTAAACACCTCCAGGGATGGTGAATCTACTGGGCAGCCCATTCCAATGCCCAATCACCCTTTCTGTGAAGAACTTCTTCCTAATATCTAACCTAAACCTCCCCTGGCAGAGCTTAAGCCCATGCCCTCTTGTCCTACTGCTGATTGCCTGGGAGAAGAGACCGACTCCCACCTGGCTACAAACTCCTTTCAGGTAGAGAGTGATGAGGTCTCCTCTGAGCCTCCTCTTCTCCAGGCTAAACAACCTCAGCTCCCTCAGCCTCTCCTCATAGGACTTGTGGTCCAGACCCTTCACCAGCCTCATTGCCCTTCTCTGGACCTGCTCCAGCACCTCAATATCCTTCCTGAAATGAGGGGCCCAGAACTGGCCTCACCAGAGCTGAGTACAGGGAGAGAATCACTTTCCCGGTCCTGCTGGCCACACTGTTCCTGATACAGGCCAGGATGCCATTGGCCTTCTTGCCCACCTGGGCACACTGCTGGCTCATGTTCAGCTGCTGTCAGTCAGTACCCCCAGGTCCCTTTCTGACAAGGGTTGACCGAGGGACGACTCCCCACGTACAGCCTCTCAGAGACAGGGCTGGTTGGTGGATTGCCCCTATGCCTGGTCTCAAAACCACAACACACATGCTCTGAGGTGCAAAGGTGAAAAACCTTTATTCACAGTGAACACGGGTTTTTACAGGCTCCTGGGGGAGGGCTCAGGAAGTGGGATGTGATTGGGTAAAGGCTCTGGGGAAAGGGAGTGGCTTGAGCACTTGGCTAGACAATGGGGGAAACAGGAGATCAACACCCAATAGGAACCCAGGGATCAAGGAGAGACAGGTGAGACAACCAATGGGGTTAGGACAGGGGTGGGGGCTGGTTCAGTGGGCAGGACAACATGGCACTGCCCAGGGAAGCCATGTGGATGCTGCGTGGGGGGGGTTTACATAGTCAAAGGAGTCCTGTACAATAAATTTGTGATTCCTGAGCTTAAACTGTGTTTTCTGTGTTGTTTTGATGCCAAAACCAGCATAAAATAACTGCTCAGAGAGTTTTGGGTCTTTAAGCAGCAAAGGTATTTATTTCGAACAACGTTGGGGTGCTAACCAACTCGCGCTGGACAAACGAGCTCCCAAGTTCTCAGTGAAAAGTCAGGTAGTTTATACAGTTTTGGTGAGAGATTACAGTATTTTATATGAATATTTATTCAAATTGCATCCTCCAGTTATAATATTCATATTAGGTGGGGTTCAGACAGAGTTTGAGGTGGAGTCATCCTTTTGGGTAGATTCCTTGGAGTCGTTCCTGTTTTTCGGCCTCGTGAGGGTCGTTTTCTCTGTTCCTCATCGTCATGAACTTTTCAACTCTTCCTGACTACGTGCAAAAGTCTTACTAAAAAACCCCTTTACTCAACCCTTCACCCCCCAAGTGTCCATCCTATCTAATTTATGACTACTAGGCCAACCTTTTTGTCATCTTTCATTAGGATAGAGCATACCAGGTGCAAGCAGGCCTCTCACAGGCCTCTCGGAGCCTGGTACCTTCTCTCTCTTAACTAATCTCATAACACACGCTCTCTGTCGCTTTAACCTAAATGCAGCATTCCTCAAAGTGAGGTCTGTGAACCTCTCCTCAGAGCAGGATTCTAGCATCTAAAAATCCTTGCTCTGTTTCATTTCCCCCCTTTTCTCAGGACTTACGAATTCTCTCGTCAAGTTCTAAAGACAAAGGGTTTTGGTAAACGAACATCATTCCCCACATTGTTTGTGTTCTCTTCACAATAATGCTCAACTTAAACCACAGGTAGATGTTCAAGAAAGATAATATGATCATTCCTCCCAATATGACTAGCATGGGATGTATTAGAAAATTAAACACTTGCGTTGCCCTAGGAGAGTATCGTACCAGGATGTCCCACCAATGATGTTCTCCGATTCGTTCTGCATCAGCTAAAATAGATTTTATATTTTTGGAGTCATGTTTGACTTGCCACAACATGTGTTGGGTTGTTCTGTTTACTTCTTGGACTAACTTTTCTTCATCCGGGTGTTTGAGCATTGCCTTAAAAAGATCAGTCTTCATGCCTATTTGTAATTTAGGTATATTATGATACAAAGTATAATTTATTCTAATCAATTGTTGTGTTGTTACTGATGCAGCATAATTAAAATCCCAACCTACAATCCTAGTGAAATTACATACACAAAAATTAGTACCATTGTTTTTTTCATGACAATTATCTATAGTAATATTAACACAAGCAATTCTGACACGTGCACATCCATTTCCTACATAAAATACTTGTGCTTGGGCTTTAGTGTGTGAGAACATTTCAAAGGTACATGTACTTTCTTCGATATCTAAACACAGGTCTTCATTTTCTATTGCTGCATTTTCACAGATGTATCCTAACTGTTCCCTGGGAATACATGCCTCAGTGCTGATCGATTGCCATTTGCCTTTGGTCTGATCGTAACTTGCCCAAACACTATGACCTAAGGGTCTGACGATTACATTTTGGTGTATAGCTCCCAGGGTTAGAACAGGAAAGATTGCCTGTTCTTGTGCTGCACTAATAGTGAGCACATATGCTTCAATTCCTTCATGTTGTGGATTGTAGGTGAAGTTCACTAATTGCCACCAGGATTGATGTTCTTTTTCAAACTGAGTAGTGGAATCTTCTCTTGCTATTAATTCTCTGATTTCTTGGGGTAATATCCCTGATGTTCCCTCTCTGAGTATTCCTGCAGCTATGGATTGTACCCATTGTTGAGTTTGGATACATTGGATTGCAAGTGCAACCTTTTTACTAATGTTTCCAGTGTAGTCTGCAATTTTAGTAAAATCTTTGACCGTGTAGTTCGCTACCAATGTTAATAATTCGACAGCTAGAGATTGGGTTTCTGCCAATGTGACCACAGATGATTTTAAAGGAACTTTGAGTTTTCCTAAATCAGAAGTGACAGCACTGAGTTTGTTAATTAATACTTCTTGATCTATAGTATTTAATACACCTAACCCTGTGCCAACCCACCCGGGTATATCTCTTTGTTTCCTGGTATGGTAGGATCTAGTTGCCAGCCAAGCATCCCATCCCTTAAGACTTTGCTGTATATAGGACTGGCAACTTTTCTGTATGTGGGATATATTCGCTTGGACATTTATTTAAACTTTTTTCAGTGAATATGTGGAATCCCGTAATAGCTTTTTAGATTATCTATTATTAGGGAGCCCCCGGTGGTCTAGGGGAAACGACACTGCACTGTCACTGCAGAGACCCGGGTTCGATTCCCGGTCGGGGCCCCTCCCCGGGCAGATGGAGCTCGTTAGCCCGTAAGGCAATCCATCTACGTCCTGAGGACCTCGCTGCCACTGTCCAAGCATGCTTGGCCCCGGCAGATGAACCTCAGGATTAAAGGGTGGGCTCAGTTCCACGCACACTGTGTCTCACCTAAAAAATCCAATGCGCAGGCTGGAAGGTGTAAAGACCTTCCCCAGTTATTCGTTCGCGAAGACTTGCCATTCATTCATCTATTATTAGATTGTCTGATTACATGAGGTCCAATAAAGGTTATGTATACTTTCACAGTTCAGAGAGGGAGTTGTAAGCGCCTCAGTAAGTGGTTCAAAAGTTGTTTCGATAGGTGCTTTAGTAGTAGGACTTTCTTTAATAACAAATATTTTGGAAGCACCTCTTTCTTTACTCATCCATGAGCACTGAACCGAAACTGATTGATCTAACAATAACTTTATCTCACACTGGGCTTCATTCTGCTCATTTTCTTTAGTATCGTCCCATAGGCAAGAAATTTGACCCTTTTTTTCAAAACAAACATCATTACTTGCATTGTCCATTTGACTAAATATAAGTGATTGGTTCATCATGGGTGTTACTGTCAGCTTGACCTGTTTTGTCTTTTGTGTTAAGGTATTAACACCTTTACACCCTTTTTGTATTTCATTGTACTATTTTCCTATTATGATATCCAATGAGTCTTTGGCTTTATTCCAGTCTTGTTGTGTATATGGTCTGTTATTATGTAGGACATAAATGGCTAAACTTGACCTAGGCTCTGGATCAGCTGAGGAATGTATCCCCACCCAAGGGGATGATTCTATAATTTGTGCACTCGACCATGGCCACTCCAAAGTAGGAGCTTGGGATATGGTTATACTTATCAAAAGTCCAAGAATCAGCGTTGTTCTTAGGTCCATGGTTCAGGTTTCCTTAAGAACTTTCTTTACCGTCTTCTGGAGCTCTTTTGACTCGGGAGTAGTGGATCCAGGTTGGTCGCTCTTTTACTCTGCTGTGAAGGTGATCAGCAACACCTGGAAAGGTTCTTCCCACTTTTTTTTGCAGAGGTTCTCCTAAAAGATTCTTGACATATACCCAATCACTGGGACTGAATGTATGTAGTTTACAATCAGGCTGTTTTAGTTGTTGTTCTAACGCCACCGTAGCATTTTTATCAAATTGTTTTCCTACAACTATAACGTAATCGTACACATATTGATTGCCTATTTGATCTACTGCCTCACTATCTACAATCTGCATTGCATAGTGCCTACCATATAAAATTTCAAATGGACTCAATTTTTCTTTTGATCTTGGTTTGACCCTCAATCTGATCAGAGCAATAGATAAAGCCTGATGCCACTGAAAATTTGTTTCTTGGCATATTTTAACAATTTGTTGTTTAAGGAGATGGTTCATTTTTTTCTACTTGCCCACTTGCTTGGGATCTGTAGGGCGTATGCAATTGCCATTTGATTTTCAATGCTTTACTTACTGCTTGTATAACCTTTGCACAAAAAATGTGAACCCCTGTCTGAAGAGATGCTTCTTGGCACCCCAAATCATGGTATAATTTCGTTTAACAGAACTTTGATCACTTCTCTTTCTTTACTTGTTTTGCACGGGAAAGCTTCAGGCCATCCAGAAAATGTATCTGTCAAAACTAAGAGATATCTGTTACCCCCCTTTTCTTGGCAATTCAGAGAAATCAATTTGCCAAACTTCACCTGGGAATTTTCCTTTGTTTATTGCCCCTTGTTGTATTATAGTTCCAGTATTTGGGTTATTTTTCAGGCAGCGCTCACATCGGGATGTAACCTGTTTTATTGCAGTAAATAATTTTGGTCCTGCCACTCTAGTTTTTAAATGTTGATAGAGTGGATCTAAGCCCCAATGAGTCTTGTCATGTTCCATTTTTACAAATTGCCATACCATTTTTCCTTGCAATACCAGCTGTCCTGTTTTTAGCTGGCCCCACCCATTGTCCAATAGCTTACCTCCATTTTTATGTATCCACTTATGATCTGCCTCTTAGTATTCTGGTTGGAAATCTGTATCTAGCTTCTCTGACACTAAAGCTACTATTGTTAATTCTCTGCTTCTTGTGGCAGCTAATCTAACTTCTGCATCAGCTTTCCGATTACCTATTTCTGGAACTGTGTTACCTTTCAGGTGTCCTTTACAGTGCATTATAACCACCTGTGTTGGGA